AAGTAGCATAGCTGAAATTATGCTTTAACTTTATTTTGGAAGTATTTTTTTAAATATAAAAATTATCTTTTTTGAATTAAGAAATTAGTATATATTCTACTACAGCTCTGAAAAGCAGAATCTCAGTTGAACATTGACTTTAAAAAAATGTATGAGGGGCTGGGCATGGTGGCTCATGCCTGTAATCCCAGCACTTTGGGAGGCCGAGGCGGGCAGATCACGAGGTCAGGAGATGGAGACCATCCTGGCTAATGCGGTGGAAGCCCCGTCTCTACTAAAAATATAAAAAAAATTAGCCGGATGTGGTGGCGGGTTCCTGTAGTTCCAGCTACTCAGGAGGCTGAGGCAGGAGAATGGCGTGAACTTGGGAGGTGGAGCTTGCAGTGAGCAGAGATCACACCCCTGCACTGTAGCTGGGGCGACAGAGCAAGACTCCGTCTAAAACAACAACAACCACAAAAGTGTGAGGATTTAACCTATTTACAGGCTACCAGAAGGCAAGAAAAAAAGGTTTCTTCTGGGGTTCAGTTCAGGGCGTCTACTTTGTCAGAAAAATAGAGCCAGACATATTAATATCCACAGACTTTTCAAAGTGAGGATGCATTTGAAAGAGAGGAATTCATTGGGTTAGTCCCACTGACAAGTAGGAATGGAAAAGTCAGTGACCTCTCAAATAAATCCATTTCTACACACCCTTATGACCATATGAACAGGTTAGCAAGGTCTCCATTCCCCCTTCTGGGGATGTGCAGAATGGAAATCAGTGGCACAGCAAATGGTCTTTTTGTTTTGTTTTGTTTTGAGATGGAGTCTCGCTCTTGTCGCCCTGGCTGGAATGCAATGGTGCGATCTTGGCTCACTGCAACCTCTGCCTCCTGGGTTCAAGTGATTCTCCTGCTTTAGCCTCCCAAGTAGCTGGGCTTACAGGCACATGCCACCATGCCTGGCTAATTTTGTATTTTTGGTAGAGACAGGGTTTCATTATGTTGGCCAGGCTGGTCTCGAATTCTTGAGCTCAGGTTATCTACCCACCGTGGCCTCCCAAAGTGCTAGGATTACAGGCATGAACCACTGCGCCTGGCACAAATGGTCTTTTCCATGAGGAAACGTAGATGTTCTCAGTATGATTATACATTGGAATAAAGGTTCTCTGGGAAGAATTACCAGGGTTAAATTATAAGCTCAAAAGTGAAAAAGTCAACCCCTTAAGTAATATCTGTATGTCATAGAATGGCTAAGTCCTAAGATCTATTTTCTTTCCTGGTTTATGGAAATTGAGCTTATTACATTATTTTCACAATGCAAACAAATGAAGGTTTTGCTTAATTCAATACACTCTGTGAGTATATTTCAGAACTAGAGAGTGAATGTAGACAAAAGCCCAAAAATGGCAGAAAAGTGACTGTCCACAGAGCATGATGTAGTGAGTGCCTTGCATTTTATATTGTTGAATCAGAGCAGCTAAAATCTCCCCTCTAGGTTGGGAGAATCATATTCCATATATATGGAGGAAAGAATAGACTTATGGACTCTCAATACCTACCTGTCTGTCTGTCTTTCTTTCTACGTATCTGTCTGTCCTATAGAACAAAAAAATTTCAAATTTTCTTCTCCAAAGTGTGCAGATTCAGAAGCAACTGCTCTGCTGCTGGGAAATTGCCCTGTGGTAATATTATCCCTGGACTCCAAGGGTCTGAGCCACAGAGTGGCACTGGAAACCATGGGAGTGACAATGAGCTTGCCTGCTCACCTGCTGTAAAATGAAACAAATTGGACAATACTCTTCTCTTCTTCCTCCCTCCCTCTCTTTCTGTCACTTTTTATTCTGTCCCTTCCTTCCATTTCCCCCGTTCTTTCCTCCCTTCTTTCTCTTCTCTCCTTTCTCTTCTCTCCTTCTTGATCTTTCTCTCTCTTTCCCAACTGTCTCTCCCCTCCATTCTCCCTTCCTCCAGTCACTTCTCCACATACTATTGCTAGAGATAAGACACAAATGGTCAGACAAAACAGGAGATACATATGTGTGTGTATATATGTATATATGTGTGTATATATGTACATGCGTGTGTATATATGTATATATGTATATGTATGTATATGTGTGTGTGTATATATGTGTGTGTGTGTGTGTATATGCTGCAGAAGTTTTGCAATGTATTTTTTCTTCTCAGATTTGCAACTTAAATTCAAAGTAAATTATTTAAGGTTAACTATTGGCCCCTTCAACGTCATAATCTCTCTGGCTGGTGATGATTTGTGTTAAAACCTTATTCTGTATAATATTAAACTTTACATAGAACTTTAACTTTTGAAACTGAAGAAAAAAATGTGATTTTTTTAAAACTTTATCACTTCAAAGGAGATTTGTGTTAGAAGATGGAAAACATATAGGGCATTGACCAATTAGGTGAACTGGGGCTTTGAGGTTTTAGAAAAAGAAAATAACCCTATATAAAACCCTTGAGAGCAAGGATACTGGGTATTATCCAAGAAGATTTCTTAATAGAAGTATGTTCTTCAAATGGTTTTCTTGGTGTGCTTTAATTTATGGTCTCTAATGGTTAAGAAATCTCTAAGTAGAAAGAATTATGAACCTAGTATGAAGGTTATAATGGATCTTGACAAGGTGGCTTAAAAGGAGACATTACGGCATCTAGGGGATGAGAGTTAACCTTTTGTTCTGAGAATGTGTAATTTGCCTCAAAATCATCAAAGTTATCAGCAGATAGTATTTCTTAATGTCTCTTAAGAACTTGATATCTTAAGATCTATATACATAATCACACATAGTTTAGGTAAGTCACTTTACTTTGACACGTTGTTAATAATCTTTTCTCAAGATATCTTAAATAACTGGAAATATCAACGTCAGAAGAAGGAATTTCACAAATACCATTTTCCACACTGAGAGAAATATGTTATGAAATAAACTCAGAAACTTGCAAATCCCTAGTATTAGAATATGGAACCTAACTATAAGTAGTCCAGGTTCACATTATGGAAAAGGCAGAAATTAAAAAAAAAAAAAAAAAAACAGTGCAAAAGCAAAATGTTCACCAGAGACTACCTTAAGATGAAGAGGAAGATATTTGCTGAGAGCTTTGTAAACAACCCTTGGAAGAAAAAAATTATGATTATAAAAGTGGTTATTCTAGTGCTTGACTTGGTTAATGTGGGCTTATAAGAGTGTACTTTTCAGGCTGTACTTTTTCAGTACTTTTGAGGACTGAAAATGGGCCATGCTAGTAATTCCGTTACCTCAGTTCTAAAAGAAACCCCCAAAATCTTGAAGTATGAGAGTTTACAGATGAAACTGGAGTGTAAAAGCAAAAAGTCTTGTTAGAAATATGGACATCTTCTTCATTAGGACTTCATAAAGATATTTCTTGGCCCTAGGCAAAGCATAATATTGCAATTGCTCCAGAGGGAGCACTATACTTATTTATATATATTTTGTAAACCGAAAAGTATTTGAGACAGATCTCAATCAATTTGGAAGTTTATTTTGCCAAGGTTAAGGACATGCTGGTGACATAGCCCAAGGAGATGCTGAAAGCGTGTGCCCCAGGTGCTCAGGCTACAGCTTGGTTTTATATGTTTTAGAGAGACACAAGACATCAATCAATACATGTAAGATGTACATCGATTTGGTCCAGAAAAGCAGGACACCTTGAAGGTGGCAGCAGGTAGGGGTGGGGATGGACTTCCAGGTCTTGGGTGGATTCAAAGTTTTCCCAACTGGCAAGTGGTTGAAAGAGTTTATCTAAAGGCCTGGAATCAGTAGACGGGAGTGTCTGGGTTAAGAAGAAGGACTGTGGAGACCAAGGTTTTCATTATGCAGATGAAGCTTTCAGGTAGCAGGCTTCAGAGAGAATAGATTTTAAGTGTTTCTTATCAGAATTATAAAGGTGCCAGACACTCAGTTAATTCTTTCCTGGATCAGAAAAGATACTTGGAAAGGGAAGTGGATTGTGTACAGAATATAGATTTTCCCCACGAGAGACAGCTTTGCAGGGCCATTTCAGAATATATCAAAGAAATGTATTTTGGGGTAAAATACTTTGATTTGATTTCTTTGAGGGCTTGCTATCAGTTATGTTGGTACCTTATTGTTACAATAAGTTTGCGTTGTCAGTCTTAAGGGCTCTGTTTTAATGTTAAATGCTGGTCAGCTGTGCCTGAATTCCAACGGGAGGAGAGTATAATGAGGCATGTCCAACCCCACTTCCCATCATGGCCTGAACTAGTATTTCAGGTTAACTTAGGAATACCCTTGGCCAAGAGGAAGGTCCATTCAATTGGCTAGGGAACTTAGAATTTTACTTTTGGTTTATCATATACATATATACACATACATATACATGTATATATGTGTGTATGAGAGAGACAGCATGCACACTCTAGACTTATAGACTCACTGAGCATAACAAACCTGCCAGGGTATATTGTTTTCCTTGTTTTATAGTTAAGAAAACTAGGAGGAGAAGTCGAGTCACTTTTAGACTCACCACCTGGCTAAAAGTTGGTAAGAGTTTGTAAGCTTTAGGGCAATTGTCACATAGAGTGAGTGGAACGAGAGAACCCTCACTCCAAGCCGTGCCCAGCTCTGCCTTCCAGAGCAGTGTGAGTTTTCACTGCTGGATTTTAGTGCAGTCTTTCCTTATGTCTGTTAGGGAAGACAGTGAAAGTATTGCAGAACCATTTTCCAGCTAGAGAAGTGGTCACAGGGAAGTTATGGGTTTATATGTGGTTAATTGCAGAGCCATGATTTGAATGAGATTGTGTTCTTTCTTCTGGAGCCTGTTAATCCAGATCCCACACCCTTCCCTCAAACAGAATCCTCCAAAGAATGCAGGTGTGTCGGGGACCAGGGCCTGAGGGTCAGGTTAGGAAGGGTTACTGACAAGGTGACCAGGCAATATGCAAAAGGTCTAGGTACAAAAGAAAAAAGGACAAACATTTCACTTAATATAGTTAATGTAATCAGCTGTGGAAAATTTAGAACTATGGAAGGATGTATCTTAAAATTCTTAGCCTAGTGAAGGCATAGTTATCCATACTAATAAAAACCATAGCTCTCCTGCCTTTTTCCAAGCTCTTTGTCTCAAAGGACATATTACTTGCTTCTTTGTTTAGGCCTCACTGTATCTTTCTGGCTCAGCATGCCTTCAGAGGCTCTGAAAGTAGTCAGAAGGCAGAAGTGTGAAGATTTCTCCATGATGTCATCAATAAGGCAGCACTGACCTCAGAACCTAATTCATCTTGAGCATCGTACATATCAAGCAACACTTTCTCTTCTTGCTGAGGAGAGAGAAAATGTATTTTCTGCTGGTAAGGAGAGAATGGAGTTGGGGGTAGAGGGTGAGAGGGCCAGTGTCTGGCATCTGGACAGCTGGATCACTGGGAGGAGTGTTGAATGACTCTTGCCCCTGCCAGACAGGCTTTCTCCAGTTGTTTCAGAGTCTTCAAAATGCTAATACAATACGTTTGCATTTTCATTTGTATTGGCTGAGGCTTGTGTTAAAGTGCCGCCAGCTGCTGTAACAGATAAAATTTGAAGTCTCCATGGCTTTTCACAATGGAAGTTTCTCTTAAAGTCCAAGAGGTGGTGCAGATGTGGGTCACAGGAGGTGGGCTGGTAAGGAGGAGGCAGTCTGGTCCACATGTTTGTTCAGGAACCCAAGCTGAAGAAGCCTCGACCATTTTCAACATATGACATCTAAGATTACCATGGGTGACAACATCTAGTCTACCCATGCAGGAAGAAAGAGAAGGTGGAGAAGGCATACCTACTTCTTAACCAGCTGGTTTTGGAGGTGATAGGAATCACTGCCATTCATATACTGTAAATGAGAACTAGTCACATGAACTCACATGGGTGGCAGGGCACTTAGAAGTAGAGTCCTGGGTGGCAGTACCTCCCAGAAACAACTTTGTACTATGGAAGATAAGCATGGATAATTTGTGGAGAGTCAGACTGCTCTGCTACAGTATTCTTTAGTGCAAGCAATTGAAACTGATTCTGGTGAACTTTGGTAGTAAAATGAATTTATTAGGAAGATATTAGGTGGATCTAAGAGCTAATAGGAACATTTCTGGGGTGAGGTTGCAGAAACCACCTAAAGAATTTGTCAAGGTGTGGCTGCCAAAAGGAAGAAACACTTAAAAAAATCTTTTTGTATCCTCGTTCAATATTCGAATTCCCAGGAGGAGTATTTCACTAATGTAACTTGGGTCCTTGGGTCACTTGCTTGTTCCACAGATTGTGTCCAGAGGTAACTCCTCCAAAAAGAAACAGACAGACAAACAAAAAAACCCCACATTCTGTAGCCAAAGAAAATGGGATGAATTTGAGGCAGCCAAAACAGCCAATGTTCACTCCCCCACTTTCACAGAAGATGCTAATTTTAAGGTAAGAAAGGAAAATAAAGCCAATTCCACATCAGGAAGATCACCATTTACCAAGTATAATGGATATCAGATTGGAAATTGTATGTTTTTGAAAGTATGACAGATTTCTGAGGAGTCAGAGAATGTAGTTACTGCTTTTATAATCATCGCCATATATTCCTTTTCTTAATGTTGTTCTTCGGAGATTTTATATATTGTTATCATTTCTTAAACATACCATGAGGCTTCTCTCTCCATGGATACCTAAGTGCTGTCATGATATTGTCTTTGATGCCTTGATCTTTTGAGAAAGAAACACAAGAGACCACATCTTTAACCTCGGTGAAATGGAGGGAGTAGAGATCATATACACCATACACTTTCAACAGATTGAGGGGACTAGTGCATTAAGGTTCTTTGAGTTCTGAGGATCAGAAACCCAGCTTAAGCCAGTGCAAAGAAAAATGGTAACCATGAAGTCCAGGAACTTCAGGTGTAGTTGGATCCAGGAATTCATATCATGTTATAAAGAATTGATTTTTCTTTTTTTCCCCGATCTCTTGGCTTTGCTTTTTTCTTTCCTCTCTTTTTGTCTTTTTTCCTTCTCTCTCAGCTTTGATTTTATTCTTAGGTAGGCTTTTATTAGTAATAAATATGGATTCAGCAGCTCAGAAGGAAAGAACCACAGGAGAGAAAACCTCTTTTTGCTAGTGCCTAGAGCAATTTCAGAAAACAACAACAACAACAACAACAAAAACACCTCTCATTGTCTTTACTTGGGTCACGGGCCACTCCTGTTTCTAGTAAAATGGGGTACTGTGTTAGCCTACTGAGTGTCACATGTGCAACTTTGTGGTAGGATACTGGGGGTTATGTGGTTGACAGGTCCACCAGATGGGAGTAGCACCATTCCTGGATGGAAAAAAGTAGAGTGACGAAAAGTGTAATTTCACATAATCTTAACAAAAGAAACAAACAAGATCCACTTTGAAAGTAAATGACTTACAACAAACATTTATTATTTCTCTTGATTGTGTGGGTCAGCAGGAGATTCTTCAGGTCTAGGCTCCTCTGCTGATCACTGCAGATAGCTGGTGGCTGATCTAGGCTTGAATGGCCTGGGATGATCTCACTCACATATGTGGCAGTTGGCAGACTGCTTGATCTGGGGGAGCCTCAGTTGGGCAGCATACCTTTGCTTTTCACGGCTTCTCATCCCTCAGTAGGCTAGCTTTGATTTCTTCACATGGTGGCTTCAAGGTTCCAAAGAACAGCAAGAGAGAGAGTGCAAGCCCCAATGCACAAGCACTTTTTAAGTTTCTGCTTGTGTCACATGGCCAAAGCAAGTCTAGATTCAATGGATAGAGAAATAAGTTTTGCCTTCATGTGAAGAGCTGTAAAGTCACTTTGCCAAGGGGCTTGCCTACAGAGATGGGACAAATCTTGGCTATTTGTGCAATCTAACACAATGCTCATTCTCTCTTCACCTCCTTCTCTCACTTGGCTTTGTCTTGACTACAAGTGAACTCACAGCTCCAGTGCCCACTGCCCACTGCAACTTGACTATAGTCTATCTTTTAGTGAGTGAAAGACAGACAGAGAGAGATTGAGAGAGAGAGAGAGAGAGAGTGAGAGAGGGGCTTTCCCTAGATTATGGATTGCTTTTCCTAGTTTATGAATTGCTTCTATTGGTCAAGTTTGCTCAACTGATCCAGTCAGTTCTTGTTAGGGGGAGGTAGAGTCATGCTGTAAATAGGGCTATGCTTTTCATGGGACATGGATGGAATCAGTTAAATTAGAAAATTGAAAGAGGATATTGGGTATGGCAGACAAAGTGACTGATGACTGTCTTTGAACATAGATGGGACTGGATTCAAAGTCATTTCTTTTGAACCCTAATATTCTGTTGTGTAATTTTATGTAACTGTTAATATCATGTGAACACACCTCAGTGTAGTGCTTTCTCCCATGGCAGAAGAAAATAAATCCCAGATACAGGATCAGCTTCTGATGGTTAGGAATTATGTTTCCTTTTCGTTTATATATGCCAAGGCATAGAGTAGGTGGTCATCAAATTCTTGCTGAATGTGTTTGAATGGTGGAGGGACTAAAGAGAAATCATGAAGTAGGCATAAATTAAGCTTAGTGAATTTCAGCTTACTCATTGTGCTTGGTTATTTGAGTCTCGGCAGAAGTCCAAATTCAACATAACAAAAAAGTTTATTGAGGCAAGAACCTGTATTTAATTGAAATTTAGAATATTGTGTTCCTTAATTATTAGATAAATTGAAGAAGGAAGAAGACATAAAGTATGACAATCTAGGAAGTTATATGGGCCTTACACAAGTCTTAGAAAGTGGAACAAACCCTGAGAATTGAAATTCAATTTGACTTAATTGTCAAGAGAAGATTTTCAGGGTTTTAAGGTTGAAGTTCTGTCCTTCATTTGGCATCAGAAAAAGTTACTAATATTGAAATTAGACATATACTGGGCCTTGAGTAAATGTCCCTTCATTCTTAAGTGGTGCATAGATTGAGACAGAAGTCAGACACAGGAAAAAAAAAATCTATTTCTTTACTGAGTATTTGGATAAGAAATGATGATATTCTGATCCAAATAATATAATGCCTTCAGGAAATTTTTTCTCCTTGTCATAATATAAGTACTTAGTACAATTCTTCTCTTGTTTTTTCCAAATTAGATAACAGAATTTGGATATTTCATTTCTCAATTATCCATGGTAATGGGAAAAGGAAAATATGTGGGGAGAAGAGCATGAAAGAATGTAGATAATTGGTATCAACAAGTAATTTCTAAGCCTCATTACTTTGTTTCACCCATTCCTTTTAGTCTCCATCTCATCCCACCTGGTTTTTACTAGAAATGCAACAAACAGCTCATGGACATGGTCTCAGTTTTGAGCCCTTTCTTTCAAAGTGATGTGGGCTTTTAAAAGGTGCAAAGACACCCAAAAGCAACTTACCAGGAAGAAAGACAAATAAGGACATTAACATTTTACATGATCTGAGAGTTGCCTCTGTTAGGTGTGAAGTAGCTTATCAGGAAAGGGTCAGTCATGGTAATTGTATTTTCAGCATCTCAGCCTTGGAGGACTGATAAAATGGGCACCAAATCCTCTGGAGAGGGATTTATATGAGCTGGAGAATAGTGATGACAAGAAAAGTTTCTGTATAAAATGTGGTAAGAACCAGTCGAACAAATGGGATTCCTAAAACATCACGCTGAGGTCAAGAAAGGACAATTAAATCAAGACTATAATAACGGCAACATGATCTCCACTTACTGAGTGACTACCTGATGGTATTAGAGGCCCAACTAGAGGCCCGCCTCCCAGAAGCACTATGGCATAGATATTACTACCCACACTTTGCAGTGAATTTCAGTCCTGAGAAAGGCTTGCTTCCTCCCTATTGGAGAGAAATATTAGTCCTAATTTCTGGATTCTATGAACCCTAAGGCCAGTCTTTGTTTACTTCCAACAGTAACACCAGGGGATGGCAGGAGCGAACCCTGTCACAAGCAATGTGACCAGCAGACTGTGGGGATCTCTGAGACCAGAAGTCGCAGGAGAAAAAGGAAAAGAGCCTGTAACGGAAGCCTTTGATGTCATTGGGAAAATGTGGTCCTAACTTAAAACTAAGATTACTTTGCTCTGTCATTACTTTGCCAAATCAAACCCTTTGAGAAGATAAGCCATATTGTTCTTTTTATTGCAACTTGTCTTTAGGTTGCTCTGTAAATGACCATATTAAGATGAACTGCGTTTTGATAATTCTGAAAGTAGCTTGCCAACAGCTTGGCATTGAAGACCTTCCCTTCAGCAACAGATCAAACATTTACAAAGCACATATTGTGTGGCTAACAGCATACCTGACCCTGTAATATATAAAGGAAGAAATACAAGACCTTGTTCATTTGATTGAAGTTAGATTTTTGCTAGAAAACAATAAAATATATGATAAAACACTGACTCATGTGACATGTACTATATAGAATAAATGTTCTGAGGACAGAATAATGTGTGACATCAGGGAGGCTTTAGAGAAAGTTAGAGTTTGTTGGGCCTTAAAAGGTAAACAGAGAATATATAGGTAGAAAGGAGAGAAGGGAAGACCAAGAAAGAGATTATGGAGCCTAGAGATTCCTCTTACCTGGTGGGACCAGAGTACTTTCCTTTATTAAACGCTGACTTGATTCAGGGATCATGTAGGTCTGCAATGGCAAAAATATGGCAAACATGTTTCTTAGCACATTGTTTCCAGCAGCCACTCGCCATTTCTTAGCATCAGAATTGAAATCTATTTGCTATTCTAATTGTTGAGTTTTTGGAGACTTCCCCCTAGCTGAGATTTATACACATACGAAATAGAGAAGTAAAAGAAGAAAACTCCTCTCTCTTTGAAAAATATCTGTCTCACTGATCCTTAGATTATTTGATCTCTCCACTCCCATTAAGGAAAAGCAATGAGAACTATACCCAGATTTAAATAAACACCTGTGCTGGGCAAAGTAACACATACCTTTTGTGTTAATTCTTAAAGCAACTTAAAATCTGCATTGTTGGTGGGCCAGTGGGGCCCCCGTTCTCCTTACTTTCCACAGGTGGGACTACATGTTCAACACCAACTGGCTTGCAGAATCTATGGACCAAGGATTTGGCCGAAGTTGTTATGTGTGATAAATCATTCCTGACACATTTGTGTAAATTTATGGAGGATATTGCAGCACAGAGTCAAAGCACTGAATTTTTCCTTCCTTTACTGTTGGTTCCCTGACCTAACTCTGCAAAGCCTTTTTCTGTTGCCCACAGTCCCCAGATCATTGAAGCAAAATATTTAAAGAATGTTTACAAAACACTTTTAGCTCCTAATAGCTGCTGAGTTTTAGGAGGAATTTGACATGATGTGAGCCTGTCAACTAAGGTTTGCTGGTAGCTGGCTTGAATTATTAGATACATCCAACTAATATTTAGGCCAGAATCTCAATGAATAAGTTGATTTTACTTGTTATATTTATATTATAACCACCTAAGTATATGATTGAATAATATGAATTATAATATAAATTGTTATACTAGAAATTAATGTATAATAATCATCTCTCTCAGAGAACACAAGGTAGAAACAATGCATTAGAACAATCTATAAATACTACAGAGCAGTTTCCAGAGTCAGCCAGGGTCTAAACCCAAACTAAATATTATTATTACTCTAAAGTTCTTTAAAAGAAAATATAAAAAGACAAGATAATTTCAGTTGGTAAATTATGGATGTTAAGCTATACTTAACCTTTGGCTGTTACAAGTTTCTGTCATCAGATACATAGCTCTTGAATGAAATGGTTGGTGTTTTTAGTCGGTCTGATAGCCTCAGTGAAAGGGCTTGTTCAATGATGTCCTGTGTCTCTCAGACCCATGCTGCTGAGGGCTGTGAGTGCTTCGAGAACAGGTGCTGTGCTTTCCTCTTCTTCGAATCCCCTGCAGTGCCTGGCATAGTGCCTGGCACCATGAAATATTCATGGAATTAAATGGGTTTTAAATAGTGTTTTCTGCCACAAAATCTCCCTTATATTTAACCATGTGTCATGTCATGAATTTGAAAGGAATGTAATGGAATACAGTGGTATGAATGTAGGTTTAACCAGCTCAAAGAAATATAAGGAAACTTGGGAGTTGAGAATATTGGTTTCAGAAAACAATTTAGACCAAGATCTTAAAGGAAACCTAATTTATTTTAGAAAACTTTAATTACTTCCTTTTGGTACAAAGATGCCAATCAACAAGCCAGATCAGTATGGCAAACATGATTGAAGGTATAGGATTTACCAGATTTTACTGATATTAAGGTCTGAATTCAAATCTTGATTAGACTTTTGCCATCAATAATGTATAGTAGCTCTGAAAGATTTGTGAATTTTAAGAAGATGTAAAGGATTAGTGGTTCAGACTGAGAGTTTAACTGAAGTTCTCTTAGTTTGTAAATGATTAAAAATTACAAGAGAAAGTCCATTAAAAAAAATTTGGAGTGCTGGTAAACAAATGTTTTGCCATAATATGATGTGAAATACTTAATGTTTCTACTTTCTCTTTCTTCTATGTGAAAATTAATTCCTAGTCATTAATTCAGTAATTATTGAGCATTATATACTTGGAATTTAGACTCATGAAATAGAATGGTGAAAAAAGTCTGACTTTCATAAAGCTTTCATTTTGGTGGGATAAAGACAGATTATTAAAAAATAAACAGATAGAGAATTTCAGATAGTGATTTGCAAACAATAAACCAGGTAATGTGGTAGAGTGAACTGGTATTCAGGGGGTCCTTACAGCTGGTGTGGTTAGGGTAGGTCTTCTCTCTAAGAAGGTAACATTTGAGACAAGTTTTTATTGCCACTAGTCGTGTAAACATTTTGAGGAAGAGAATCCTTGGTAGAGAGAACAGCAAGTAGAAAATGCTTTCTACGAGTTCAAGGAACAAACAGGTTAGTAAGTCGAGTGTAATGAGTTGAGGGTGGGAGGAGTCTGGGACTAATGTTATTTTTCTACCTTGTATTCTCCAAGAGATGAGCATGAGACATTGATCTCAGAGAGCAGGAAATTACTAAGTGAATAACTAAGTGAGTGCTTATTTAAAATTTGTCCTCATGACCTTTACAATAGATCAGAAAATAGGGTTATTTTCTTCAGTAAAGTGCTCTTGTTGCAGATGTGGAACTGATAGTTGAGTTTAATTAACTGTGTTTTCTAGAAGAGTATGATGGTGGAAATAAGGGGCAAGAGAGCTAAAAGTATTTAAGTGATGATTTTAATGACGAACCACAGAATCTAGGATGTGCTACGAGAATAAGTGTTTGGACCATCTCCTCTTCACCCCATTGGTGAAGGAGGGATTCCTGCCCTAGGGTTATGGGAATGACTGTACATGTGATACCCAATACTGGACAGATGAGATTAACAGTCATTTATTAATCAAATATCCTTACAGCCTGAGGGAGGAGGGCACCAGATGCCATGCTGGGCCACACAGAGTTTGCACTTGGGAATAGAGTGAGCAATGTGGGATTGTAAGAGGCAGATTTTGTTTTCTAGAGGGTAGCAACATCCCCTGGTTCCCCTGGAGGATGTGATTAACTTATTTGCATACTTCTGTGGGCACACAGGGAACTAAAACTTGCTGTTCAGGGATAAGCAGGAGCTGTTTCTGGTCCCTATGATAAGGAGGATTGTTTGGCTAGAAGACTTTATCTGTGGGAGTGGAGAAGGGAGGGGAGCTTGTAGCTAGGTCATTCAAGACCCTTCAGATTATTCCTAGATGTCAAGACAGTACATAATTTTAAACCTTAATTTTAGCTCATATATAGCTGGGACGATTAAGAGACGGGACAATGGATGGTAACAAAGGGGTAATGGATTGGAGATCTCCAAGTGTTTGAAGAATTACTGGAATGGGACAAATACAAATGATCAAAAATGGACAAATGGGAGATTTGGAAATGGTTGTCAGAGTGGGATGCTTGAAACTGTAATCTGAGCAGCGTTGCAATAGTTTGAGAAAAAATGAAGGCCATGACCTTGGCGGTTGAGCGGCTAAAGTGGAATTGGCTGGTGGTAGAAGATGGCAGGGGTGGGCAGATAACTTGGAGACTTTGAATTCTGGTGATGACAGAGCGGTGAGGCATAATGGGCTTTGTCTGAACATTGTTTGGACATAGATAAGCAATCAGGCTGTAGTCCTGAGTACTCATTAAGTAGGTGGGAGGCCACTGGGTGACTGTTTTCTTCTTGGGGAGGGATGATCGCAAGACAAACAGTGCAAGGGATTGTCTGACTGTAAGACGGAAGTCTGATCTCATCAGCAGCACTGCGGGTCCCAGATCACTTCTGGGAGCTCCACTGCCTAACATAGTCCCTGCCATTAGATGTAGGTGCTCAATTACTGTTTATCAAAATGATTTGAATTGAATGTGTTGATTAAATACAACACTACCAATGGTGGCAATTTACATAACACTGTCTCTATCCTTAGGAGTTTCAAAATTTATCAAAGAACTGATTGTTTCCTCTCTGCTTTATCAGCTCACAGGTTTCTCTTGGGTACCAGGCCCAACTTAATTCAATGATTTAACAGACATTTAATTTGTGTCTACTATTTGCCAGACAGCATAGTAGGTGCTGAGGATGTAATGGAGAACAAGACAGAAGCCCCACATGAGGTCTTTTTTGTAGTCTCTATATTTGGAAATTTGGAAAAATGTATTTGAAAATAGGTAATTACAATACAATGTGATGAGTGCTTTGATTGGACAAGCATGGATACTAAGGAGGGACATTTAACCTAGACTTAGGATACGGGATGTCTTCATGGAAGGGGTAATAATTAAACTGGGATCTGAGAGATGAATAGAATTAGACTGCAGGAGTTAGGTGAATAGGTCAGGATTAGGCAAGTGTGTGTTCCAGGATAAGGAAATAGCATATCCTGATCCTCTTGTGCACTTTCTCTGCCTCTCATCCTTAAACATTCTTGTATCTTTGCTCCTTATATAATTAAAAGCATGTATTGCATTAATCTACATAATGAGTTTACAACTTGGTTCTGCTGTTTAATGTATGTCCTATAAATATACAAATGATTGGGGTCTATCGGATCTAGTTCTTCAGAGCAATGTGAAATTAGGTTATTACTAAATAATGAGGATAATAACTTTGTATTACATTAAAAACGAGTATATGCACCTAAATAATAGCAGCATTAACAGGAAATAGAAGCATTTTACACATGAGAAGTAGATGTTTAAGAAGAAAATAGACTTATGGTCATAGATCTTGCTCTAACCTGGAGTTGGTGTGGTCTCTCATTTCCCGCATTTTTAAAAGATGAAAACAAAATTAAGGTCTTGAAAAAGCCCCAGTTTCTACTTAATGTGAAAAAAACTAGCAAGAAAATGGAGACTCAGTCACACAAGCATGGAAGCAGCTCTTTCCCTAGGTGAGCCTCCAGATGAGGATGCAGCCAGCTTACACTCTGATTTCACCCTTTGATTTCAACCTTGAGCAGAGAATCCGGTTAGAATATGCTGGATTCCTGACCACTGACACTGTGAGATAATAAATCTGTGTTGTTTTAAGTTGCTAAGTTTGTG